TTTTTTTAATGTTGAGTTTCAAGCCAGCTTTCGCACTCTCCTCTTTCACCCTCATCAAGACTTCTAGACATTTGCCTTTTAAAGGGACCATGTTCTTAACCCAGGCAATTTTGCTACTGGGTAATAATAGAATCTTCTCTTGATCAGACTCAACTCCTGGTGTCTTCAAGGACACATCCATGTAGTTTTCTTGGGATCCATATGAAAGTGGGTTACGACTCCCTTCTTCCTATCCCTAATTCTCCTCTCCAAACACTACCCAGGTCTGACACTGTTCACCCTTCTGAGATCAAGCGAATTAGGCAATGGGTAATACGTACAGCATCTAATTATTAGCCACTGCTTCCATTTTGAAGCAGAAGGTCTGCTTTCTAGCCCCCCCCCAAGTTGGGTAATGCCGTTTTTGCAATCAGTCCTCACCTGAAAATCTAAGTACTTAAAAAAAAAAAAAAACCCTACTAAATCCATATGGATTTTCCTAGGGGGGGAAAATAACTTCATCTAAAGATAATGGAATAGATAAATGGATGCACGTATCTGAACAGCAAATGAACCGAATTCAGACTGATGTTTCCTTGCATTATATATAGTTTATGTACCCAACTTTTATGTGTTTCCGGTTGTAAAGCAAATGTATAAAGGACGAGTGCACAGGCGGAAGGAGAGTGCATGAAATTCATGAGCTCCTGAAAAAGAGAGACGTGAGAATTTTACAGAAAAGATGGTGTTTGAAGCGGCGCATAGATGTGGGAAAGCAGGAGAGGTTTGCGCTGATTGAAAGAGGTGAAAAGGTACTGAATGGGCTTGGTGTAAACTAAATTTGGCTACATTTCCTCTTCTCGGGTCCAAAAAGCTAAGATGATAGCCGAGACTGTGGGGTCCAAGCCCCACCTCACATTAAAAAGGGGGCAGAGTTTGAATTTTGCAGTTCCAGCAGCCATCTTGACTTTTTGACACCCCCTCCCCCCATGGACACTCCTGTCTTCTGCCTTTAATTTCCTCTCTTTACGATTTCTTACACTTTTTATTTGCTTTGCGTAACCCCGATTACCCTGAAAGGGAATAGCACGATGGATACGTAGGCGTGTAACTTTCTGAAATTAACTTTCAATTACTTTTGAGAAAGAGAAGCCTGGAAAATGCTTCACTGTCTTGATCCAATATGAAGAGTTTGCTATTAGTCAGTATCAAAGTGCTGGATTAATATTTTCCATGGAATAGTATCTCTGACTGCTTCCTTAATTTCATCCAAGCCTGGATATTCTGTCTTTCTCCTGGAATAATGGAGTTTTTCTCCTTTGCAATGGAGGAGCGATGCGTAATCTGCATTTGATCTGATGAAGGAATTATATTACTGGCATCTGGATCATTGTTCGGTGGGATCATACTTAACTCAGAAATTAAACCAAAAATAAAGGTCTCTTTCCAGGTTGAAGTTTCCGATTTAACTATTCATCCCCTTCTGCAGCTCCTGGGTTTTCTGAAAACTGGAGGCCCTCCAGAAGAGGGTGGGGACTGTGCCCGAGAGGTAAAAGATTGCAGCGTGGGGGTGAGGGAAGCATGTGAATGTTCCAGTCAGGCAGCTGGATTTTGGATCCCATCAATGAAATATTAGAAACATGGGTGTAGTCATATATGAAACCCCTAATTAAATCAACAAAAAATATATAGTTTGAGATGGATACCGAAGTTATGGGCTTATGTTTGTGAATGTCAACCTTTCCACCCTGCTGAGTGACCCTTTTGCTAAGGTTCAGCTGAAGACAGAAGACACCAGAAGTCCTCTGGGCCCACCACCAGCAAAGACCTGAGGTCTGCAGCTTCATCGTACCAGTTCCACCAGCAGCAAGTATCATCCTGTTTTGAATTCATGCTGTTCCCCAGAGATAACCAAGTAAAACTAGAGAACAGCACTTTCAAAACTAGGAACCCTAACATGCAGTATTGTCAGATTTCCCCTTTTTCAGCAACCGAAAGGAACAGATTGTTTGCAATCTGAACCACGTTGCTTCTTCCAAACGTTTGTGTTCATTTTCAGTATTAGAGCGGAGTTCTGTTTTACTTTGCCAAATGGTTTTTGCTCGATGGATGTTTCTGCTTAACTGTAATACAATGATATGGATAACTGTAGAGTGAAGTCATCAGACGGATGGAGAAATTCAGAATCCTACCTTGTCTATAACTTTCTCCCAACCTAGTTGAC